AGCATTAAAAAAAAAAATGTTTGATGTATATTATTTTTTCTAAAACGTAATAATGAACACACACTAACAAATTTAATTTTCAAAAAAACGCTTTTCTTCGATTAAAAAAAAAGCGTCTTGTCCAAAGTTTATTGACTCTATTGCCTCAAAAAACTAACGTTTGTACGTCAAATTAAACAAAGTAGACAAAATGTCATTATTGCAAACTTATTAGTTGGTAATTAAATTTAAAAGTAAAGTCGTTTTTTTTTTAACTAACTCATAATTACTTACAAGAATAAGTTTTGTAGCATTTTGTGAAAATATATTTGTATATTAAATTTTTTTTATAATATTAATTTATATATTTGTGTTATAAGGGCAATTCCACGGCCAAAAATGAATAGAAGTCAAATTTTAAACTCTTTTCAGTCAGTTTTTAACAAATGAATATTGATTCAGACACATGAAAGTTTATTTAAAATATTTCCTTAGTACAAAAATAAATTTATTTCAGTCATTTTTATGGTTTCAAAAGTGACGGTTACTCTCATTTTTGCTTGATAAAAAAAATAATTATTGTAAAATGTAAATTGTTCAAATTAATAAGGTTGAATAGACATTTTATTAGAAATTAAACTAAGACAGGGCTCGAATTAACACAAAAAAAAATGAAATCGCGAAAAAAAAAAATTTTTTGTTTTGCTCTCCCTCTCTCTCCCCCCTCCCCCTCTCTCTCTTTCTTATAGGTCGCGCCGATGTGCGTCAATGGGGGGGGGGGGGGGGGGGGGGAGAGGGAGGGGGAGGGGGGATTATCGTCAATAAATCAAAAAACATCGTCAAAAACTTAATAAAAAATTATATACCACGTTTTTTATAATTTATTGTTTCTTGAATAAAGGACTAATAAAAGTTTAAATATAATTAAGTTTTTCATTTAAATGGTTGATGTTTTTTTCAATTTTTCTATTTGAAGTTTTCCAATAAAAGATGAAACAAAAAAATTTAGTTAAATAAATCGAAATATACTTCACGTTTAAAATAAGGCTTGAAAACGTTAAAGTAAAAAAAATTGCTGGTTTTTATTAGCATTTTTATACTGTTTGAAAAAAAAAAAAACTAATAAAAAAGAATTAACTAATAATATACTAATTAATAATTATTAGAATTAATAATAATAACAATTAATTCTTTTTTATTAGTTTTTTTTTTTCAAACAGTATAAAAATGCAAATAAAGGTCAGTATTTTTTTGCTCTAACGTTTTAAAGCCTTACTTTAAACATGAAGTTTTGATAAACAAAGATAAAAACCAACTTTTCAACTTTTCGCTTTAACGACCTAGTAAAAATTTTCCACGCAGAGAGATTTAAAGTAATTTAAATTCAAAAATGATTAACGTTGAAAGAAAATCTCCGCGCGAAAGAGCAAATCTATCTATTCAGAATAATAAATTTTGTGTGACGTTCTTTATGATAAAAACATTACTTTTAAGGATTGTTAAAAAATGCTAAGCTAGAAAAAAAGTAGTTAAACAACCAAAAAAAAAACAAATCGCGAAAAGATTTTTTTTAAGAAAAAACTAATCACAAAAGTGTGAAAAGCAATCGCGATCGCGATACGCCTAATACGAGCCCTGTAAGACTTTTTTATAAGTTCTAAATTATTAAAAACTATTACTTAATAACTTTTTTTTAACAACGTCTTTCAACCGAATGATATTAAACTGTTTTTGCAAAACTAATTAAAAAAACTTAACTATTTAATCACGACTTTTTTATACTTGAAAATCGAAGTAGATATTTTAAAGATCTTGTGACGTACTAACGTGATTTTTAACGACTAACAATCGTGTTTCAATGGTGAAAAAATAAAATCAAAATGGAGTTGTTTTTCAGTGATTTCGGCAATTGCTTTTTGTTAGCATGCATCTATTATTACAATTTAGTGAAAAAGAAAAAAAACTTACATATTTTTTTTTAATGCTCTTTCATATGAGATCATATGTTAGGAGCACTTAGGGATCCCTTTAAAAACTGCCATTTTGCTTTTAACCAGCCGATAGCTTATCGCAGGGTTTAACGGAGGGATGTGAATACAGCTGCAGATTGTTAAGATTATTAAGGTGTTCCCATGTTTTAAAATTACTTATTGTTCACTTACCTATAAATACCACAAAAATTGTTGAACTTTAACTTTATTTTTATAAACTTTAATTGTTATAGTTCAGCATTACCATTTTTTAATTATTCATGAACATATTTTTAAATGAACCTAAAAACTGTTTTTTTGTTTTACTAAATGAAGAGAAATATTCAGTACCTGAATTTCATATATTCTAATTAAAGAGTTTATCACTCTTATCACATAAAAATGTTTAAGCCAAAACAAAAAAATCTTAATAAAAGTAAAATATGGGATAGTGTGTAAAGTTAAAAGCATCATTCAATTAACTATTAAAACTTTATAACAGATGTTTACTGCATAAAACAGTTGAAAAAAAAAAAAAAAAGAACACTTACGCATAACAGTCTATCTCCAACAAGCAACTTTCCGCATTCCTCTGCAACACTTCCTTCAACTATCTTCTTTATAAAAATTGCTGACTCACCATCAATGTTTTCACTTCCTAATGTAAGCCCTAAACCAGATTCCTTCTTTTCTAACTGAACTAAAATAACTTCACCCTGAAATTCAATTTTCATGTAAGGGTCAAATACTTGTAGCTAAAAATTTTTTTTAAAGATTTAAATTTCTTTTAAATACAAAAAAAAAAAAAAAAGTAAAAAAAAAAAAAAAAAAAAAAATTAAATAATACAGTCAGAACTAAAAAAATAAAAGGTACTAAATGAAAATAATAGACAAACTGCCGATAAAATTCCAGTTGACTTTTTTGACAAAGAGCTCTCTGTAGAAGGTTCCCTTTTCCATCTACCTAAATGCTTTAACATAGGAGAGCCAGGTAATGATGCAGCTGATACCACAAGAGAAGACTGACTTGAATGAACAGATTTTGCTGGTTCATTATTATCAGACATAGAATGACCATCAGCATCAAATAACCTTCTGTTAAAACAAATCATTTGATCAAACTGATTAACTACTTCCTCTCTGATAACTGTTTTTTCTTTTTCAACATTTTCTACATTTTTTTCACTTTTGTAATCTAAATTTTCAATAAGATTATTTCTAATTGATTTTTCAGATATTTTATTGATGTCTGAAAGTAATATACCAACATTTTCATTTTCTAAATGCAATGTACCAATATTATCATTTTGGCTTTGTGATTTAAAATAGTTTACATTAGCTTCATCAATCATTTCATCATTAGAAACAAAAATATTACGAAAAACTTTTTCACAACTTTTTTTTGATTTCTTTGATTTTACAGATTTTTCTAAAATAGAAGGGCTACTCGTTAACAAAGGAGATTTGGAATAGTTTGAGAAACTTTCACATTCAACTTGTTGTTCCATATCAAACACCAATGCATTATTTTGTTTGAACAAGGCGTTGTGAGGATCTTTAGATAAAAATGGACTTGTGCTTTCTTTAGAATAAGTTAAGCTTTCCAAGGGTTCATCTGTATCACTCCCTATATCAGAAGAGTTACTACAACCATCAAATGATTCAGTAACACTGCATTCAATGTTTTGAAGAAGCTTCTTAGCAATATTTTTTACTTTTAGAGAGCATTTTCTTCCAACTAAGATTAAAAAAATAAAACAATTGCAAACTTTCAATATCAATAACAATTAATAACTAATATCAATGTAACAAGACTAATATAAATAAATAAAAAAACAATTGATGAGACTGTAAACTATATATGACTAGAATGTAGAAAGATAAATATTTGACTTACGAAAAATCTCATTTTCTTTCATATTTTCTGTTTCTGAAGAAATAAGTTTATTATGATCAAGAAGAACATTGGGGATTTCATTTTCAGGAAGTCTCTTGGCAACAATTTGAACCTTTTTTGGAGCATTTCTAATGACAGATAATGCTTCTTGAAGAGTCATACCATCTACAACTTCATTATTAACAGCGAGTATAACATCTCCAATTTGAAACATCCTGCTCATTTCAATAGGCTGTTGAGGATACATTTTTTTAATCATTAACATTCCTGTCAACAAAATTAAAAACCAAATTCAGTGTTTTTGTTTTGCAAATTTCGTATTTTGTTCACAAAAAAAAAAAAAAAAAAAAAAAAATTAATAAACTTAAACATGTTTTTATTAATAATTATGGTTTCTTATTAAGGATATTTGCTTTCTTTAAAATTTTACATTTTCTTGATGAAAATTGAACAATCTTTTAACAAATTTTTTTTTTTCCTGTTATTTGCCTTTCCAAAGCTAAAACACTCACTTTTCAACTCAAAAAACAGAAATATTGGCAAACAAGGCTGTTGAGCTAAGAAACAGGTTGAGTGCAGTATTACCAGGAAAGTGGAGGTAATAGAACCCGGAACTTCTTGCTTACAAAGCAATGACTCTACCACTATCCATATAATTTTATTAATTTAAAAGATTGTACTTTATCACACTAATTTTATAGAAAAACTAAAAATAAAATTAAGAACTCAAATCAAAGTTACTTTACTGACAAATTTGCTTTTAATATAACTACTGCAATATTTTTACCATTAAAAACAGGTTCACTGTTTCTTCCGCCAACCAAGCTAAGCCCTAAACCATTGTCACCTTTTTCAACATCCACTTTGAAAACATAATCTTTTTTTAAAACAGATTTTACTGAATTTACTGACTCAGATATATGATCTAGAGATAGGGCAATACCACGATCAATCACTATAGTAGTTCGTTCAGGTGCATGTTTCAATATTTCGACTGCCTATAAAAATTATTGATAAAGAAAAAATTTTAAATACAGCTATGCACATAAGTTTAATTGAGGTGTTAATTTCAATTAATCTTTTCTGTTTCTTCGTCAATAAAAAAATTTGGAAAATTAACTAAATTATAGATAAATGATTTTTTTTTGAACAAAATTAAAAAAATGATAATAATATCATTAATTTAAAATAGTTAAAATTAATTAATAACACAATCAAAAATTTGAGAGGATCACTACAGTCCAGGAAGCTTTATTGTGGTTACAACTTATCGTTATTAGTGCAATTAATATCATTAATATAAAATAGTTAAAAAGTGATGAAAAAATTAATAACATAATCAAAAAATTGAATTCTGGCAGCCAATCTCCAACCTTTGTCTCATCGTCGTAATGTTGCTTCTCTTTCTCTTTTCTACAAATACTATAATGGGCACTGCTCTAAAGAGCTAGCGTCCCTTGTGCCATCTACTAAAATTCATTCTCGTGTTACTCGCCATTCAATTAAGTCTCATCCTTTTTCTGTGACTGTTCCTAAGTGCTTCAAAAACTCTTATTCTTCTAGTTTTTTTCCTCGAACATCAGTTCTTTGGAATTCGCTTCCTTCATCTTGCTTTCCTGATTCATATAATTTGCAATCTTTTAAGTCATCAGTCAATCGTTATCTTGCTCTACAGATTTAGTCTTTTCTCTTCCAGTAACTTCCAACTCTTATAGTGGTTGCTTGCAGCCTTGTTGGAAGTAAAGATGTTAAAAAAAAAAAAAAAAAAAAAAAATTTTAAAAATTGAATTTAAAAAATTGAATTTAAAAAATTGAATTTAATCAAGTTCAAGATATCAAAAAAAATAATAATACAAATTTAATATTTAAAGTGTTCTTCTTTTGCTTGATAGCAACAAAAGGATTGTTCCTTCATCGATTCCATCAGTTTCATGCACATCTCATGAGGTGCCAACCTTTATCTATTAGTCTTTCTTTTGTTATTATTATTATTATTTTAAATATTATTCACCTTTTTAAGGCCAAGAGGGCCACTACAGTTCAGGAAGCTGCTTTAATGTGGTTACAATATCTAACTTATGTAAACTTTTATGTAATGATAAAACAAGTTTTATAGTGTAACTTTTACTTAAGAAGCAACAATATCTCCTTAAAAGGATCCCAAACTCCCGACACATGTTGTGTTCATATTAAAGATAATGTTAAAAAAAAAGGTTTGAACCAAGTTTTTTTGATTAAAAATAAATAATAAATGCATACCGAGAAAAATTTTAGTAGTTGTTGTTGTTTTAGCAGAAGCTTGCCTTCTTCATTTTTTTTTTAATAACTCGGAGTCTTTAAATTATACGGCGCAATCTACAGACTTTAATGATTCCTTTGAAGCGCATTTAATTCATAAAAATTTTAGTATTTGACGTCAGGTAGACTTTTAACAAATGAAACTTTGGAAATATTTTTATTTTTTTTTATTTGAACTTTTTTTGATTATTTGTAAGTTTTTTTTCTTCTATTTTTAACGTTTAAAAAGATATTAAAAACCTCAAATATTTTATGCTGGTTCGTTGCTATAAATTGTTATTGCGCCATATATTTAATGTTTATAAATTATGAATATTTATTATCTCAATCAAGACTCTGATAAAAAATTGTTTCACATTAATTACCCTTATAAAATTAGTAAAAGCATTTTTATTTGGTTAGATAATATTTCGTCTCAATTTGCTTTGCATGAAGTTCGGGAAGTCAAGCGAAAAAAATTAGTTTGAATAATCACTTTGAAATATATTCAAAACAAATTATTTTAATGACGGGGGTTTAAAAGTTTTTTATAACAAATGTAGGTAAAAAATAAATAGTTAAATAAAAAATTCAACATTAAACACCATTTTTTTATTATATTGCAACTGTAAATATTGAAATATTATTTAGAACGACTAAGCAATAAAAATAAAAAGCCCCTAAAATTATGCGATATTGTGTTGTTTATTTGATAATTGCTGTTGATAATGTTGTTTATGTTGATTATTTTCATTAATATCAAAATAGTCCCAGATTAATCTGTTAGTTGCTTTGTTCATTGTTGTTTTATTTCTAATTTAATTGTATCTCTAAGTATAAATTTATGTTAAGAAAGAAAAGTTTTTATTTCATCGCTCGCTCTTTTTATAAAAGAGTAGAACAAAAGAGAAAGAAAAGTTTCGCGTAATTAAACTTCGAATGAATAAGAGTTGTATAGAATATATATATATTTTTTTTGCGTCACTCGTTCTTTTTTTAGATGAGAGAAATAAAAGTTTAATAATAACTTTTCTTTGAATAAATAAAAATTGGAAGAGAAAAATGCTTGAAAATTTGTATTTGTTGTGTTTTAAAATTTTTAATTTTTCATGTTAAGAGACAAATGCCAAATACGATACAAACGCGCGTTATGACATTTTGACAATTTAAATTACCAATTATCTTGAATTATTGCCATTAATTAATGTGTTAATTATTGCGTTATATTAGTTGTATAAAACGGGCGAAAATATACAAAATTTATGTTTTTTATTTGATGGTTATAAAATATTGGACAGTAAACTAATAATCAAAATTTATAATGCTGACTTGTGTTGTTATTAATTATACTTTTAATGCATAACCAGGATCTCACATATCCTTTTACGAATTTTCATATCTGATACAACTGTCAATTGTATTGTTTAGTGTATTCTTGTACTTTTTTTCATAACCTTAACAGGTTCTAATTGGTATGGAGTTGCCAACATTTTAAAAGTTTCATTATCAAAAATAAAATGTAAAATAAAATGATATTTCCTATTTATTCGTATCCAATTTAGAAAATTTAGCAATTTAAAATAAATCAGCGTACTCAAAAAATTTTTATAATAAAAAAAGTTATCAACTCATCAAATATCTCTAATTAATACTGTCAGTTTATGAAATTAATTGTTAAAACTTTTTTTCGACGGGAAAATATCATAGCATAAAAATAACCAGAGAAGTTAGAAAAAGTTCCCATTGTTTAAATAAAAGTAAGTAAGATTCAGAATATATAATACTGCGCTCTCTTGCACAAAAACGAGAGATCGTACACATAACGTTCTATATAATGTAAAACATTCGCATGAAAATCATAAGATTCGTAAGTAAAGCTTTAATATTTGTTTTAATTTAAAAACAAAAGAAATATAAGTAAGATATATAAATCTAAAAATTATTAAGATATCGGTAAAAAAAAAGTTCCTTTTATGAAATAAAAAGGAACTTTTTTTATTATTTTTGATTTTTACAAAAATTTGTTGTAAAAGTTGTTTTGCTGTAAGTTAAAATTTTTTTTTTTTTGAATTAAAATAGAAAAACGCAGCTTGTCAAATGCTAAAACTTTTATGAATTAAATGCGCTTCAAAGGAATCGCCAAAGTCTGTAGATTGCGCTGTATAATTTAAAGACTCTGAGTTATTAAAAAAAAATGGAGAAGGCGAGCTTCGGCTAAAACAACAACGTTAGTTTTTCTCGGTATGCATTTATTATTTATTTTTAATCAAAAAAACTTGGTTCAAACCTTTTTTTTTAACATTATCTTTAATATGAACACAACATGTGTTGGGAGTTTGGGATCCCTTTAATGTGACAATATCTCCATAATTTTGATTTATAGCATTTATTATTTAGCATTTATTATTATTGATTATTTTTTAATTATAATTTATTATGAAAAAATAATAATTATTAAAAAACAATAAAAAATATTTTATTATTATTAAAAAATAAAAAAATAATAATAAAAATGTTAAATAATATATATATTATTAAAAAATAATGATTTATTATTATTGATTATTGATAATATTTAGCATTTATTATTATTGATTTATAGCATTTATTTGCCATTTTATATAGTTTGATTATTAAATACTATTAAAAAGTGTATAGTACAATACATCTAAATGGCCGAAGTGGTCGCAGGGTTTCTGATACAAAGCACCATGGTTTAAATCACCATTTCCATCTTTTTTTATTTTTTAAATCTTTTTCCATTTTTTAAAAAACAAATAAAACCTTTTTGAAGTTCTATAGATATTACTTACATATTTAAAGATAACATATACTATAACTAACAAAAGGAAGAGGATTTTTAAAAAAGCTTATTTGCAGTTTTATTAAAGGGACTACCAAGTCATGAGACATGTTGTGTTCATATTAAAGAGAATGTTAAAAAAAAATGTCTGAGCAAATTTTTTTTCATTAAAACTAATTACTAAATGTATATCAAGAAAAACAAATCTTGTTGTTTTAGTAAAAGCTTGTCTTCTCCATTTTCTGCGGTATTTGGAGTTTGTAAAATAAACGCGATTTTCCAGACACATTATACAGACTTGATAATTTATTCAAGTGCGTTTAATTCATAGAAGTTTAGTACATGACGTCATAGATTTTTTTGTTTGTTTGTTTAAAACACCGATTATTATTTTTTACATGCAATTTCCAAATCATATTCATTTTTATTATATTTTAAAGTTCTAAAATGTGTTTGTAAAAAAATTAAAAACAAAATAGTATTTTATTTACGGAACTTTTTTGAAATAATTGTCTAGACTACGTGTATTTTGATTTCTTTTGTTATAAGTTTTTCTTTCAAAATATTAGATAAAATAATTTTTAACCTATATACTTTCTAAATATTAAAAAAAAATTATTAACACATTTTTTTTTTGATTTTCAAGAATGTATTTTTTAGTATTGAGGTGATCTTATTTCATTATTTATAATTCTATTATTGAAACATCCAATATATATTATGGCGGGGTTTTAAAAATTAAAAAAATAGTATATATTGATTTTTGTTTTACGGACATACATGGAAACATAATTAACTTGAATGTTCTAAGCAAAATAAAGTTCTAGAGTATCCTTTTGAAATGTTTTAGCAATTGTATTATTCACCATTTGTTGCATTTTGAGATATCTAGAATAAATTTTTTTAAGAATATATTATCAAAAGAACTATTACTTTAATATTATGGCTCATTCTCGGAGCCACATCTGCAAAGTCGTAAATCTTTTAAACTATTATCATTTGTTTACAAAAATAAATGTTTTATAATATATATTTTTTAAATTGTCAAAATTTTGAAAGTTAATTACAAGTTATATATTTTATTAGTATTCTTAATTTTTATATCTTTTCTTAGTGCTTGGTTTAATTAATTGTTCGTTAGATTTGTCAAAACAACTTGCATCAAAATGTATAGAATACACTTGTGAATCATCAGAGATATTATATAACTCAATTTGGCGCCATAGGGGTCCTTAGGTCCACCATTGCCGTGGCCGATGTAGCCACGGCTCTGATAGCTACAAAAAAACATAAAGTTTTTTTCAATGTGAAGATTTTAGAAAATAAAATAACTAACTATAATTAGCTATTTTAGTAAAATTTAATAGTAAAATTTTTAAAGAATTTTTAGAATGTTTCCAATGACGTCATGTACTAAAACTTCTATGAATTAAACGCACTTGAATAAATTATCAAGTCTGTATAATGTGTCTGGAAAATCGCGTTTATTTTACAGACTCCAAATACCGCAGAAAATGGAGAAGACAAGCTTTGACTAAAAACAAGGTTTGTTTTTCTTTTATATATTTCATCATGCATTGCTATATTATTTTATTGTTATGTATTTCATTATGCATTTTTATATATTTCATCTGGTATTGTTATATATTTCTGCAAAGTTCATTTGATTGTACTATAGTATATTCTCTTTTAAGTAAATAAAAACAACTTTTTTTAACTTTTTTTAAACATCTAAAATGAATAAATATGTGTCTTAAAAGTCATGTCATAAAGTACTGCATTAAACTTAAAAAAATGCCATATTTTAAGAAAGATTGAATTCCTTATAAGTTCTGAGTAGGGGTGCTGAGTCCCAAAAAGACTCCATTTTTATACCTCTATTTTTTCAGGTCTGTAGTGTCTAAAAGCTCTAAACATGTTTATTGACTTATGAAGAAAAAATAATATTTAGCAGTAAACAAGTTTTGTTTGTGTAAAATATACACCAGTCACTGCACTACAATGGTTCTGTATGCATGCTTAATTAGTGTTTTAACCATTACAATGGTTCTGAATGCAAGCTTCATTAGTGTTTTAACCACTACAATGGTTCTGGTATGCAAGCTTTATTAGTGTTTTAACCACTACAATGGTTCTGTATGCATTCTATACCAGTTTTAAATAGAAAACATCAATAATATTATAAAAAATTTTGTTTCCTGTGGTTTATTTTTTTAGAAACAGCTTGTGCATTTATTTAAAAAAATTATTATAAACAAATTTATAAAAGTTTAAATTAGAGATTTCTCAAGTTATAAATAACAAATTGAAATTTTAAACTGATGTTTTTTAAAAAAAAAAGTTTTAAATCAAAAATTTAACAACATACCTCAAGATGAGTCATATTTTCCAGTGAAGTACCATTGACACTAAGAATGCGATCTCCTTCTCTGATCTTTCCAGTTAATTGAGCTGGGCTGCCAAATAATAAAGATTTAACAAATATTCCACCCAATGGTAGAGTGGAATCAATGCCTCCCTAGTTAAAAACACCATATAATCATTAAGAAATTATAATATAAGATCAAAACTAAAAAAAAACTATTGGTATATTTTAACCATTTTGACCATTGTGAATAAATTTTATTTACTATGTATTGCTTTACAGAGTCTCAAAAAGGTATTTTTTTTTCTTAATGAAATTTTATTCTTAATTTTGGATTTTTTTGGAAACCATAAAAGTTATTACAAAAAATGAAGATTTTTAAAATCAATTTTATCTTATTTGTAAACAGATGGTAGCTATAAAATACAAAAACTTGTTAAGAAATTCAAAAAGATAGTTGCTATATTGATTTACAAAATTATAAAAAAAAATTCAATGAGTTTCTTAATTTTTATCATGTTTCACTTCAACAAGTAAATAGTCAGATAAACAGTCAGATAAACAAGTTTTTATAACACTTGAAACATCAGAACCATTGTTAGTTAAAAGTTAAAATCATTCAAATTTTATATGAAATATGAAAAAAATATAACAAACTTTATAGTTGTATTCAAAGCTAATTCTAAAAACAAAGAATAAGTGGTTGCCCTTGCCCCAAAAAAAAAAGTAATAAAAAATGGCTCTTAAGATGTTAAACCACATGAATATGCTCTTATTTAATGTCACTTTAAAGAAAATTTAGAAAAAATGGAAACAAACATGCTGTCTCCGAGAATTCACTCTTTACAGAGAAATATTTCCAAAATGCTGAACATTCTTATCACTTGTCTTGGTGGCAATATTGTTGCACAGTTTGTAAACTAGGTTTTAATTATGTTTTGTGGAAATATTGACATTGTTGCAAAGTTTGTAAACTAGGTTCTAATAATGTTTTGTGTAAATATTGACAACATTGTCCCACAGTTTTTCAACTAGGCTGTAATAATGTTTTGTGGAAATATTGACATCATTGTCCCACAGTTTGTAAACTAGGTTGTAATTATGCTTTTAGATAAGATTGTTAAATAAAAAACTGGTTGTCTATTCACAAAACTTTCGTAACTCAAAAATTTGCGTAAGTTTGGCGTAAGTTCTAAACTACCTATTTCTGTATTCACAAAACTTTTACTCTTGCTTACAAATAAACTTGCGAATAATTTTTCATAAGTTAAATGGTATTGACAAAACATTTTAAGAAAATGCTCAGCTTGATTTAAGCAAGAAAAGTTACGTTGGGTAGGTGCTACCTTAACTTTGGCATAACTATTTGCGCAGCAGTTCTATGTTGATTTATTTGTTATGATACTTTAAGATTTAATTATAACCACTTTTATTATGCATAATCTGTTAAAATATTGTTATTTAAAACACTGTAACAGATTAAAATGTTGTAATTAACAATATTTTAAATATTGTTAATTACAACATTTTAATCTGTTACAATGTTTTAAATAACTTTTACTAATAAACTTTTAGATAATAGATACTTTTACTAAAAGGTGTTTAAAAAGCTTTAAGTTACCGCATCTATGACATAGACCATTAGTCTATGTCATCTATGTTTATAAAAATCATTAAATTTTATCTATTATTATTATTCTTTTTTTCTTAATTTTTGTTGTTGTGTGTTTCCATAAGTTAGATCAAATACAAATTAATAATATTATTATAAACATTATCTGGGCAAACTATAGACTTTTTTCTGTAACATTTAAAATTAAATCACACTCAACACAGCTTAACTGTTTACATCATTTAAGATATTTATATTTATATTATATAACTTTTTTATAATATTTTGACAAATTTTTCAGAAAAGGATATCCTGCTGTGAATTGTCAAGTTGTTGCTGATCCAGATGGTAACTTTAAAGATGTTGTGATTAAGTATCCTAGTTCATGCCATGATGCATTTATTTTTGTAAATTCTACTCTGAAGCAGATGCTAGAGTTAGATCCAACTACAGGCTTTCTTTCTGGTGACTCGGTGTATATGCTTGTCACCTGTCATTATAATTCCATATAGACTAACAAAACAAACCCAACTTTTATGGAAAGAAAAGTCCTTGTAAAAAACTATTTGTTTTCTAATCGAAGACTTTAACATATTTAAATAATTTTGTATTGTATAAAACATTTTGAGTTAATTATATATGGATTCTAATATATATAGTCCTAATCTATTAATTGAATTTAACCTTTTAAATCTTACCTAAATTACTAAAACCCCAATTATCACGTTTTTGTTTTATTTCAAGAAAATATTTTTTGTAGAGAAATAAAGTCGAAAGTATAATTTAAAAGATGAACAAAAACAAGAATATTTTCTGCAAAAGCTTTTTGCAGCTTTTTAACTGTCTGCTTTTCTGTTACTGGCTGCGTTCAAAACATTTTAGAACTACATACTTATATTTAAAAAATTATCTGTTACTATTATATTTTTAATTTGTAACTCTTAAAATTAATGATAGGCGGAATAATAAAACAACTTAATTGTAAATAAAAATCAAAGATTATATTTAATTAAACTATATGTATTTAATTTTTTAAAAGTATTTAAATATTTATTCATCACATACTTGTTTAGGATGAATTTAAAGTCAATATTAGTTTATTCAAATTAATAATATCAGTGAAAAAGTTGTTTCATTGTACTAGAATTTAATGCAGTTATTTAAAACAGTTTTTCTTTTAAATTTAATGCAGTTATTAAAATAGTTTTTTAAAATGTAAACATTATAAACAAATTTAATGCAGTTATTTAAAATAGTTTTTCTTTTAAATTTAATGCAGTTATTTAAAATAGTTTTTTAAAATGTTAACATTATAAACAAATTTAATGCATTTATTTAAAATAGTTTTTTAAAATGTTTTTTAAAACATTATAAACAAATTTTAAAAGAGTAAAGAAAGAGTTTCAAATGTTTGTTGCAAATGTAGAATGATTTTTCATTTGTTTACATAGTTCAACTCAAATTTTTTGTGTAAGTTTATGCTTAAGGCTATGCATAACGTTTATTTTTAACACATAACTACTTATGCATAACGTTTGCGCAGCTTTAGCTTTATACAAATGCTGCGAAATGATTGTGAATACCAAATAGTTAAGAAAAAAAAAAGTGAAATAAATGTAAGGTTTGCGTAACTTACCCAAAAGTTAAGAAAGTTTTGTAAATACACACACTGGAGCTTTGCCCAATCTTTTTGAGGGTGGAATACAATTGATTTTGGATTTATTTAATCCTCCAACAACAGTAATTTTATATTTAAAATATCATTTGATACCAATATGAAATTAAAAATATCATTTGATACTAATATAAAAGCAAAAAAGAAAAAAAAAAATTGACAACTGCTGCATGACTGTAAATGGCCTTTCAAATAACAAAAAATCCTGGCTTTGTCTTAACCTAAATTTTCTATTATTTAATGTAACCAGTGGTAATAACCAGTAGGTATATATTTTTTAAGTTAAAAAAAATAGTTTACTTGGTGTAGAAAAATATTGAAAATATATAGATAAAAAAGTTAACTGGATTTCTATTTGTAATCTTTCCCTATCAGGCATTTGTCTTTAAACGTTATATTCTAAATGTATTTTTAATATCTTTTAAACGTCTTCTAAACATTCTTATGTAAAGAAAGTTTAAAAGGCGTTTAAAAAACATTCAAAAGACATTTCAAATCTAATTTTTAAAAACAAATGCCCATAGGGTAAGATCTACTTGCAACATTTGAAATCTAACAAACAAACAAAAAAAAAGACAAAAAAATAAAAATAAAAAAGCAAAACAAAAAAATAATTGCTATATAAATATGATCTCTGTACCACTAATTAGCCACTTCACATTAAAATTGGTAATCATGAAAAAATCATAGAATCTTAAAATATATATATTTTAGAGAGATATTTAATAGAAGTTGACCTATCACATTCACATCTCATCTTTTTGAGTGTTCAAGTTTTCTTTTTTAGAGTTATAAGATTGCTGTTGTAATTCATTGTGTTAATAAAAAAATATTTTTTGTAGCATTGAAAGTTATTAATTTACAATTAAAAAAAAACAAAACTTACTACAATACTAATACCAAACGATTGTTTTTTAACTTTCTCTATTTCAACCTCAATTTCTTCTATGGTATCTTTTGTTAAACCTTCATGGTGAATATTAGACTCTTTTTTATGTAGATTTTCTGATACAAGTTGGCTTTTAACATTTTCATTGTCATTTTTATCAGATATATCAATTTTGTTTAAATCATTAAAACCAGATGTTCTTTTCAAGCCACCAACAGAAATTCTTTCAAAGTTTTCGCAACTTTCTGAAACACATGTCGATTCAGAAAATATACCCTCCATTGATGAAACATAACCATCATTGTGATTTTTTTGAAGCATTTTTTCAGAGGAATGATATGTTGATTGAGTTGAAATGGGTACTGGAACTGGAAGTTGTCCTTTTACTTTAGGACTATGCACTATAACAAAAGAACTTTTATTGTTACTTAAAAGTTGTATTTAAAGTAATCAACATATTATAGTAATATTTTATTTTAATATTTTTACTATTAAGTTATTGTAATAATACAAACATTTCTTTTTTGTTAATAAAGTATTATTTTTATAAAAAGTAAAGAAAAAAACAACAATAAAAAAACATGCCATCTATGGAACGTTCACTGTATACACTTTTTAAGTCTTCATCAATAAAACCTATTCCAGCATACTTGAGCTTCATGGAATCAAACTTTTCACTTGTTGAGATCCACTTAGATTCATTTTCTCTTTCAAGAAGGGATATTTTACAGTTTGATAATAACATATCTAAAAAAGGTTTAATACTATACAATTTTTAGAATCATCTGTTACAATTTTTAAAATCATCTGTTAATAGATAACCATTCTCTGCATAGATTAAAAGTACTCCAAACTACATAGACAACTTATTATCAAACTGTAAAATATCCCTTCTTTCAAGAAGGGATATTTTACAGTTTGATAATAACATATCTAAAAAAGGTTTAATACTATACAATTTTTAGAATCATCTGTTACAATTTTTAAAATCATCTGTTAATAGATAACCATTCTCTGCATAGATTAAAAGTACTCCAAACTACATAACTAAATTTAATCAACATGAAACTACTTATTTCATTTTCTTTAATTAATCATATACTAAAAACAACCTAATCTAGAGGGTTGTATATATAATATATATATATATATATATATATATATATATATATATATATATATATATATATATATATATATATATATATATATATATATATATATATATATATATATATATATATATATATATATATATATATATATATATATATGTACATATATATATACAACCCTCGGAATCAGGAAAAATGAGGTCGGCAAATTATTGCCAACCTCAATCTTTTTGAGATCAGCATCAGGTCGGCAAAAATTATTTTATACAAAGGTCTGACCACAAAACATAGAAACAAGATCAGCAATTTTGCCAACCTCAAACACTTTAAGGTCGGTAGTTAGGTTGGCAATGTCAACCCTAATTCCGAGAGAGAGAGAAAAAAAGTGACAATTAAATTTGGACAAATCCAGGATTAACAATAAAAAATAATAACTTTCAGTACTTAAAAAAGCCACCCATGAATTTAAAACACATTTTTACATGTCTGGACATCAACTCTAACAATCTAATGTTCTTTTGGACTTGAATTTCAAGTGCTTTCAAGAATCTCCTTGAAGTGTGTTTTGCTTGTGATTTTAAAATTGCACATTTTAAGGTCCATCCAACCATAAATGTTATCAATGGAACTTAAATCAGGTGATCAGGCACACCATAAAGGTATTTTTGAGATTCAAAATATTTATTAATTCTTGTAGAATTTTTATATTGACGGTTTTAAGCATGTTTCCAGGGTGTCTTTTTATAAAAACTGATTCATTGAGTCTTTGTATATCTTTATGGACACAGCAACTTTATGCAAAATATATCCCCAAATGCCTACTCAGCCACCGCCATACAGAGATGAATAAGATACATACAGAGATGAATAAGAGATTTGTAGAGGTAAAGAATGGTATCAGGAGAGAGAAAATGGCGAGCACAATAAAGAAAAGCAACCTTAGCAGATGGTAATTTAGAAATCAATTGTACATATGGTTTCTATAAAAAGTCAGTAGTAAGCGATAATCCATGAAGACGTAAAGAATAGGACTCAGTGAGAGGGTTGCCATTCAATAATTTAGGGATGTCGACAGTACTGCAATAGTTGTTTGCAGTAAATAACTGAGTTTTGCTGAGGTTAAAATTTACAAGCTACTGTGAGCCCCAATCTGTTACAGAAGTGAGATCAGATTCTTGAGAAAAGAGCTATGACTTTATGTCAAGTATAGTCGAGTCATCAGCAAAAAGAGCTACTTTAGATGTAAGGTTATCAAAAAAATCATTAATGTAGATAAGAAACAAAACAAGACCAAGTATAGAACCTTGAGGTACCCCAGAAGTTACTGGAAATAAAGAAGAGTGTTGGCCTTCACATTAATAAAGCAATAATCTCAAAAACTTTCCCAGATACACCATATGAAGCAAGCTTATGGAAAAGACCAGATGTTTAATCAGGGAAGTAATTAACGGAACTTTAATCAGGGGAGCAATTAGCAGAAAACCATAAATTATTGTTGTTGAAATAGGTGTTGTTCAAATTTAATTATCACTTTTTTTTCTTCTTATGTTTTATTCAATTAACTTTTTATTACTTTTTAATTATCTGCTAATTGATTTTTTTTTAAAGTTTAATTAGTTGGCAATTTCGCTAAAAAATAAAAAACAAAAAGAAAAAAAATAATAATGCCTCTTCTATAGTTTTTTTAAAAATATGACAAAATAAAAATATTTATCTGAACAACTTTTTACTCATCCAAACTTTATTGTTATTATCACAATAAGTTAATAATAAATTAACAAGGATCAAACTTCTCAAATTTGAAGCAATCATCATACCACTATTACCACTACAAAATTAAATAATAATAACAAATAATAACAAATCTAAAAAAAGTATACTACTTTTTAAACGGAGCCCATATACAAAGAAAATTTGGCTGTGTTTTTATTTTTATAAAATTGCAAAATGTAGCCCATTTATATAGTTTAAACTGTCAGTAAAAACATCTAACAAAAATTTAAAATAAATGTGGATAATTTAACCTTCATCGAAACTTCTACAGTACACGCTGTCAACTTTAATTTGTTTAGAACAAACTTCCTTTCTTTGTGAATCAACAAAACCAGGCAAGTCTTTAGAATTTTTACAAACATCTTTAATAGAATTATCATTGGATAGAATACTGCAAGAAGTTTGTATATCTAATATGCATAAAAGATAAAACATAAAGTAATATTTCAACTTTAAATTAACATCATATAACCAGCTACTTTTTAAATTTAATTTAACATCATATAACTAGCTACTTTTTAACTTTAAATTAACATCATATAACTAGCTACTTTTTAATTTTAAATTAACATCATATAACCAGCTACTTTTTAACTTTAAACTAACATCATATAACTAGCTACTTTTTAACTTTAAACTAACATCATATAACTAGTTACTTTTTAACTCTAAATTAACATCATATAACCAGCTACTTTTTAACTTTAAACTAACATCATATAACTAGCTACTTTTTAACTTTAAACTAACATCATATAACTAGCTACTTTTTAACTTTAAATTAACATCATATAACCAGCTACTTTTTAACTTTAAACTAACATCATATAACTACCTTAAAAACAATTACCTAGACCAGTTCTTTGATTAAACGCATGAAACCGATGAAATGATTGACATATTCGAAAAAGATACTTTGCCCTAAAGATTAATAAAAATGAACAAAAATTACTGAAATAATATAATGAAAATAATGAAATAACAATAAATAAAAATATAATAACATCATAAATGAATAACTAACGAAATAATATTAAATGATATAATAATAACATCATAAATAAACAACTAATGAAATGATATTAAATGAAATAATAATAACATCATGAAATGAATAAGTAATAGTACGTGTTAAATAGAAAACACAAAATAACAAAAATACAACACAAAACTAACAACAAAATTACAACACAAAATGAACAACAAAAATATTTTAAAGAATTAACTATTAATGTAGTACAGAAAAAAGTTCAAAAAATAAAAAATAACCTTCTATAATTATTACAGTAAAAAACCATTTTAGGATTTGCATCTTGGTCTTTCGGTTTAACTACAAATTTTTTATTCTTAAAAAAGAAAATATAAAATACATCTCTTTTATTTTAATTAATGGAATTTTTCTTTTGTTTGTTTAAAAAAAAAGTTCAATACTTCATTGTTTATTAAAATTATGACACTGTTCTCCAAATTGACCGCCAGGTTGAAACTCTCCCCACTTCTAATTTAATTAAAGTCAGATATTATGGTAGTCAAAAAAGGCTATTTATGGCAATCATATCATTAAACTACAGCTTCTTTCCAGATATAACTATCACTTTTCAACATGGCGTCAGATTTTAAATTATGTACTTGTTCAGTTTGCTTG